AAAAAACTGTTAGTCCACCATTTGGCATGAACAACTTCCCGGTAGAGTGCCTCCTCATGTTAACACTTTCAAGTTTATTTATCCTTGGGATAGCTGGGACATCAATTATTGCTTCTGCCATCATTATGACTTGCAAGTCTGCAGCAGATCGAAAAGTTTTCATGTTAGAAGCACTTACATTGCCATATATGCGGACACGGACAAGGCTTGAAGCAAGGTGTGAAACAGTAGTCTGATACAAGTTGAATGAAATTATTAACTTGAGCAGCTCAAAGTAGAAGAGGTTTTTCGCAAGCAAAGAGAAATAAAATTAAAAAACTAAACGACTTGAGCTAAAAAGTCTTCAGGGATCTTATGGTACAAATAATATCTAAAGAAGTTATGCAAAGCAACCTCACAAAGGAAAGTATGAACAAAACCATTCTCCCCTAAATTATAAGAGTTCTTTCAGCTTTTCAAAGTGCTTAGGTAAATAATTTGTTTCCTCAAAACCTGCTGAATTCAAGCCTTTTTAACAATAATTAGGCCAACTTTTGTTTCCATTGTTCTTGATACAGCTAAAGAGCCTACAAACTGAAAGAATAAAGGTCATCCTTCGTGCCATGGTAACATCTATGCCCTCTCATAACGTGTAAAACAATGATTATTAGAAAATAATTCACGGTAAGGTACGAAGGTCAGCCTATTCAACCAAATTATTGTTACAATATCATTTTCTAGGACAAAAAAGGTTCTTTTGTAAACATTAAGCATAACCGCACAGAAGCCAAGAAGAAATTTCATGCAATCCTATAAATGTCTTTTGATCTCAATTTGGGTGATAGCTGCAAATTTCAATAACAGCTACTGCATTTTAAGTTGCATTTCAATTGCTCCATAAAACAAACCAGGGAATTCCATGTCTTAGGGAGGCAATGACTAATAATCTATAGGAAAAAAAAAAAGCAATGTCTCCAATCATTTTTGTCAACAGAATTATCAAAGAATTGACAGAAGAAAATAACAACTTGTCATCTAAATGCAATTGTTTAGAAGCATTGCAAAGAACCTAAAAAGAATTACAAGCATTTTGGCAATTCCCCCCATTGATGAAAACTATCTGCTTAAAATGAAATAAAAACCATTTTAAAAACACAAAGATTCTCACCAACCAACACATTCATGAAGAAAACAAAGAGCAACCCATTTGTAATTGACATATTAAAAGCTCAAATTCATATTCAGAACAGAGACCAACCATTTGCAACCCTCACAGATTAAGAAACCCAAAAAAAAAAACTGAGAAAAAGGTTAATGTGCAGAAGACCAAACCTTTGTGTTTTTGCAACTTCGAAAGGATGGAAATGTGCTTTGCCAAAGCAAACATAAGCAACCAAAGGAAAAAGAAAGAAGAAAGCAACTGCTATCATTTCTGTTTTCCTATTTTTGACAAATGCAAACGCGTTTGTTGAAACCTTAAAACTTAACATAGGTGATTCTTTTAGATATGGACTTGCATGGTTTTTTTGCAACAAAGGAATATTCCAGAGAGAAAAAGTAGGGGATCCCACCATGAAAAATGATCTTTGTAACTTTGTTAAGAAGGAGAGATTGAATAAATATATTTTGTTGCTTTCTGGCTATTGAATAAAAGATATTTTCTTCTTTTTTTTTTTTTGTCTCATTTTAACAATTTTTTAATTTTCGAAATAGTTTATTAATATAATGAAAAAGTAAAAATATATAAAATATAATCAATAAAAAATAATTAATTAATTAAATTATAATATCTATTATAAAATAGTTACTTTATAAACAAATAAAACCATGCATTTTGTTACAAAACAATGTATTAAAGAAAAAAAAAAAAAAAAAAAAAAGACCTACCATCTAATTTGTTTGAAGTAAGGCAAACACCAATTATTTGATGCTAATAAGTACTGAGTTAAAATGTTGAAGTTCCCCTGTGAAAATGAATTAAATAAATTCAACTAGCAAAATAGGGGTTATGAAGGATTTGTCAAATTAATTAGGTTTCTTCTTTCTTAAGATTTAAAAGAAAATAAGCCACCAATATTGCCTTGAAAAATAAAATCTTTTCTTTAATATGCTGAACTTCAATCAATCTAAAAAAAATTCTAGATGTTAAAATCTAAATTTCATTTTTGTTGGATGTCAGCAAGTGATTATACGAAGCAACTAATCTAAACTAAAGCTATCCAAGACTTTTATGATTGCAATGTGCAAAATGCTTGATGACCTCTTTTAAGAGACTTTTCCCAGTTCCTTCCGGCCTTCAAACATGAAAGTGTAGCAAACATGAGTAAGGCAGAGGAGGAAGGGACGAAAAAGCAGGTTTGGGTGATTTCATTCAATTGCAATAATGGCATCACACAACCAATTACTATCTTAATCAACTCTTCACTAAAGGGAGTTATAGATTAAGGAGAAAGATGGTTGAGCTAATTGTTTACAGAATAAGGATTAGGGTTCCCAAACTAGCAATCTATACAATGGTAAAGATCCTACATATTTTGTCAAAACACTTCTTTCTTCCAATGAACTATCTATTTGTTCAATTTATTTTTATTTTTTGCAAAATTCATTTGCTGGGATTTGTATCAGAACTAACTTCTTTTCTCAAACAAAAAAAATTGTAACTTAAAAACTAAAAAAAAAATGGTTATCGATATTAAAATTTGAAGTTCATATCTCCATATCTGTTGAATGTTATATCTTAAAGGTTACTTGGTTATCCTTTAAACTTAAGACTCAGGTCCAAAAATCTCTATCCTCCTTAATAACTGGTTCACTCATGTCATTGGCATTTATGGGAATTTTCAACCATCGCTAATGACTCCTCATGGGGATTATAATTTGGTGTGTGACCATTTCATATGTAGTGTTAATGATTCTCTCTCAAGTGAGAACTGAGACTGGAAAAAGGGAATTGGATACCTCAATAAGCTGCCTTCTCAAAAATTTTTGAATTTCTTTCCTGGCTTTGTTTGGCCCCATCTCATATTCAAATGGTTTTTATTCAATTGGGATATATAAGTACTGGTTAAAATAAAGTATCATAACACCTCTTTCAAGCTGGTAAACTTCAACCAACTATCAAAGCCACCACATATGGATCAATGATAGTAGAATTCGGACCAGGCTAAGACTATCACCCCACATCTTTGATTTTTATCATGGACCAACAATGCAGGAGCTGCAAATAGAGACTTGCGGCTCATCGACTCCCTGTCGGCAGCAACTGATGTAGGCCCTGAAAACGCATTTGCTGGGAAGGGAAAGAAGTTTAAGGCAACTATCATATATATAATGTTCAATATTCCAATTGGACAGTCAAAATTTACATGCATAACAAGGTTAATTCATAGAAAGGGAGCAAATGTTCCATTTATATACAATAGATTTTTAACATCTTTAGCAGGAGAAGAGTGGATTCTATTGATTCTTTGGAGGATCCTTATTGCCGCTGCACTTCATGGATCATGCTGGCAGGTACTTGACCATCCACACATCCATTGCACTAAGAAAGATGCCAAAATGAACTCAACTGATCCGAAAGATAAATTTTCATGACAGTTTGAAATATATGGTTCGTGGCATCAAACATGGAGAAGTTGTCGAATTGCATGGTGGATTCATATGAGCAATCCCGTGCTACAAGATTTTATGGCATAAGAAGGGAATATCATGGGCAGTTTAACTGATGATTTCCCTAACCAGCCAATCTACACTGGGAAAGGCAGAGTATAAAACAAGAAAAGAAGGGACAGCAAATACAACGGTGATAAGAATGTAAAGGGCCAAAATGGCTGCACTTGCAGGTATTGCGTATAAGACCATCAGCAGAAATATGACAATTAAAGGGAACTTAGCTGTTAAGTGCAAAAAGAAAACCAAGGACTTCTGGAGTGATGATCGGAGTCTTTCAACGCTGAAATAGTTAGTGATCAGGCGGCCTTCACTAGAGCTGGAGTCTGAATGTTCTGAATGGTGAGTAGCACTCAAAGCTCGCCTGTTGTTCACACGTCTAAGCTGATTTCCCCCATCTATTGCTCTGCTTGTAGAACAGGCAGGTGAATGAGCCCCTTGAAAGGAAGAATGAGACTTTGACCTATCACCATTCCTGCTCTCAACCATCCAGAGGAGAAAGTAGTTCTTGCTGGGAAACTTGACATTCCCCTTGTAGACTAGCCTCAAAGAGAATAGATTACACCATGGGCAAGAGACAAAGAATGGAAGATGGATTGGTAATGTAGGGAATTTCACAAAAGCCCGTTGCAGCCCTAAGACGCAATTTTTACATAAAGTATGGCCACACCATAAAACATAGGGTACATTCTCTACAATATTGAAGGATTCCCAGCATATGGGGCATTCCAATCTTTCCTCTCCACGGTTGTTCAAAGAAGTATCATCATCTGAACATTCTGAAGAAACCTGACTTGGTTTCAACGAATCAGTCTTCAACCCTCTGGCTCCAGTAAAGATCTTTGAAGCAAAGTTCCACATGGCGAATGTGAGATTAGTGGCTTTACAGAAGATACTTGTTCAAGTGAACTTGGCCAAGGATTTTAAACCTGAAATATTGACCATAAAAATGGCAAAAAGCAGCAATTGCCCGTTACCGCTGACTCCAAGTTCAAATTCCCTAAAATCAGATAATTAATCTATGTTGTAATGGCAGAGAATTCTGTGCATATTGAACTCTAGCAATGGTGAAAAGCAATGGCATTTTGAATTACTTGAAATGGGACATTTCTCCAATTGTCCCCTAAAACAACTGCATAAACAGTAAAACCCACCAAGATAACTGGATTTTATTCATCATCATGCAAAATTGGAGCCATTATTTCCATTCTTCCCCAAATTTTATTTACATTATCAACATCCATTTTCTCTAAATCCATGGATTTTTTTTCTTTTAAAAAAATACTAAAGCTACAAGAATCAATTTCAGTCCAATTACTTGATCAAAACCCACCAAGTTTCTTCCTTTCCTCACTCTTTCTTAGATTAACTCTTTGAAGAAACAAATCATTACCCATAAAAAAGAATTAACAAAACACTAGGAAAAAGAAGAAAACAGAAGAATTAAACTTACCAGAAAAGAAAAAAAAAATTATTTCCTTTTGCCTTTCGGATTTGGGAGAGAGTCGGGAATGTGTTTAGAAAAGAAGCGAACAAAGGAGGATCTGACAGATGAGTGATTACATGCACTGTGTGTGTGTGTTTGTGTTTGTGTACTCTTCTGTCTCGGCTTTCTTTTGAATGACAGATGACGCAATCAAACACCATAAACGTGTCTGAATTTTCCTCATTTATCATTTCGTTCTAGGTATTAACTATCCATAAAAAAGAATAGATAAATAAAAGGGTTGGTACTTGGCATGGAATGCCATTAACGTCAGGATCTTCATTCAATAGTATCTTATCTATGGGCCATCATCTTCAATCTTAATCCAAACCTCAATGATGAATGACCCATATGATGCATTAATAATACGACATTATAATTGGGCGTGCCGATCACGTGGATGAAAATATATATATATATTTTTTGAAAAAAAAAATGTTGGGTAATTTCTTTGTGGATAGTTATTTTTTCAAAAATAAAAGTATATGTATTCAAAATTTTATATTATTTTTTATAAAATACCCTTAACTGAAGTTTTAGCACTTGACTCGTACAAATGCATTAAATGATTCTACATCAGTTATTACTACAAAATCATCATAAACATCCATACCATATTTGTCTATCATATCATTATATTTCACAATTTTGTTGATATTGGATTCAACAACCGGTGAATTTATATTTTGTAAGGGCTTTTATGCTTAACTTCTTCAGACCATTTTCAAGTTTCAAGGCCCGACTTGAAAACTAATTGGCTCAGCCCAATCCAAGTTGAGTTAAAAAAAAAAAACAAACAATTCAGGCTGGATTCAAGTCCAAACTTGAAGTGATTTTTGTTTTGGTTTCATACAACCATCTTTCTGTACTCTTAAAGTGGGGTTGATAATTTAAAAAGACATGAAAATGATCCAAAAAAATTAAATATTATTATTTAAAATTTTATTAAAAATAATATATAAATTTAATAAAATTAAAAATATATTATATATTTTTATATGAATTATAATATATAATTTTCATATAAAACATATATGAATGTATGAATTATTATTATTTTATATGATATATATATATATATATAAATCGTCAAATTTACTCGTAAAAATAATTTTTGAGATAATATTTTAAGAGTAATACTTTAAATATAGTAAGCAAATGAGGGAAAGTATGTCACGTCTTTAAAATCGTTTGGAGAGGAGATTAGGTTCAAACTTTAGCCTAATCAAGATTCCTTGACAATACTATAAAAATTAAAAATAAAAAAAAAAAAAATAATAGTTTGACATAACTGATCAAGTGATCATAGTAATCCACAATTAATAAGATGGATAAAACACCTCTTTTGGAAGATTGATGGTGTACGCCTAACGCAAGCAGGATTAAGTTTTGCCTAGCCTTCAATTCCTATCAAGTTCTTGTGTAGCTGGCTAGGACCGGACTTGGGCAGCGGCCGAGCCAGTAATAGGTGGACGGTTTCTTGGATAAATACTGGTGGAAAATCCAATTAATGATTCCTATCTAATTGAGACTTGAGAAAGAAGACGTACGCAATTGCTAAATGCTTAAGCAGCCTTGGTGTTACTTTCATGCGTTAATCTATTTTCACTAACAGATCACGCGACGGCTAATATTTTCGTTGTTAATTATGTACTTTTTAACACAGAAATATTGAGTTTTATATCAATTAAATGGAGATTGACAACTGTTTGAATTAAATTTCAATTCATCTTCCTCTCAAGTACATGCTTCCATTGCTATCAAGTGCGAAGAAAGCAAGATCTAATAATGGAGAGAAATTAGAAGCTGTAATATCCCATGTTTGAATGGTATACACCAACCGTAAAGTAACATACTAAATACAAAACTTACTCCTGCCTGTAAGAATACTCAAAAGATGCAGTGCACTTGAAACAATTACAGCTTGTATTTTCCATGCATGCAGACATATATATGGAACAAATACCTAAGATAGAATTTTTTTTTTTTTTTTAATAATACAATCAAAGATATTTTCAGATTTTGTCCCTTTTCAATTCTAAAATTAAATTTCTGTTACTTCTAGTAAAAAAATTTTTAAAAAAATCAGATTCGTAAGTAAGATGAATAACTCGATTCATAATTAGATCTAAATTAAAGTCAAAATTTATCTTTTAACGAATGAAATTTTTTTTTAAGAAACTGAACCTCTAAATTTGTTTCTCGAGGCAATTAAAACATGCAATAGCTAATAGATTTAAATTATTAAACATAGCTTAGACACCATTCACCTTTAACATTAAAATAATAGTATATAATGCTGCAAAGAAGTTGTTAGCAAAACTTTTATTTTCATGAAGAAGCCATTAAGCATGGGAAAAGAAAAGCAATCTCTGTTTAACTTTATTTTAAGCTTTCCCCCAACATGATTTTGGTAGTTGAAAGATTTGGTACCTAATAATTTTCTCTTTTCTTGTAATCCTGTACCAAATTTTTGCTGGTCTCTAGGGAGATGTTTGATCACTCCACTTTTGACCACGCAAAAAAACACAAAATTTATATGTTATAATGACTTCCTACGTGTGTCTTAATGCACACAACTCTATGATTTGCACTCTAAGTACTACTTAATTATTTGCTTTAATTAATCCTTCATAATCCTAATGATCATAAATGTAGAGATTAACTTAAACTATGTGATTGATTAAGCCAACAATACAATAAGTGTGTAAATTTTGTTTGTAATTTAGGATAATCTTTTGGGGGGAGACAAAGGTTTAGATCTAAGATATTTGAGGTTTTATTTTATTTATTTTATTTTATTTTTTAAGATCATGATCGATAATGAGAGTTATCGTGCAAGTTTCACATCGCTGTTTTATTAATAAATGAATAAATTAAAGTTCAATCATAAGATGCACGTATCGATGCAACGAGAGCCAGTGCCTCCAATAAGATTTTTAAATGAACTGCTACTCCTTAACGAATTGTTGGTAGAATGGAAAGGACAAAGAACAGGGAAATGAATAAGAGATCCCTTCTTCTCAAAGTTATATTTTTATTAAAAAGACATTAAAAATCTAATCTGATTTTGTTTTGTTTGTCTTTTTATTGTAATATTTTTCTAGTTTTACTTGTTGTGGGTTACAAGCAACAAAAACAAAACAAAAAAAAAGGAGGAGGAAGGAAATAGGGTAAGAGAGCTAGCTAGCTTGACTATTTGTAGTTAAAATTTCTAATGATAGCCAAAAAAAAAAAATGTGTTCCATGATTGTTCATGTTTCCTTGGCTTCAAGAAGGGGGCATCCCAGATCTGGGGGCCTACCTTGCATTGAGACAAAACAAAACCCATCATTTAAACTCTATCTCTTTGTCTCTCTCCTTTGTTTTATTTTTTTTTTTATTTGATGGAAATTTTGAAAGAAAGATTTTATTTCGAATTTGTCAAAAGTTTAAAAGTGAATTTATTTATTTTAATAAAAAAAAAAAGGAGAATTTCAAAATTTAAGAGGATTTTCAAGAGAAGATTTGAGTAGTTTAAATTTCCTTTTGAAATTTAATTTAAAGAGGTGATTTTTTTAAATTCTTCCGAGTCTCTTCTTACTATACTTCGCAATCACATAAACCATTGTAAAATAGAAACTCAAAAAATAATATATCATTTTATTTAATTTTAATATTTATTAATATTTATATATTTTTACACATATAATGATACCCATATTGTAATTTTACATATATTTTTTTTATCTTTTATATCATTATTCTTTTTTTATAATTATTTTTTTATTTTATCAATTTCCATTAAATTAAATTTTCTTCTAAGAAATATGTATCCATACAAAATAATTACAAATGCTTACATTTTGAAATAATATATTTTAAAATATTTTAATTCAAATTAAAAAAAATTTCTATCTAAACGCAATGCTCACTTTGTAGTAATAAGGACATTAGTCATTTATTTGAAATAAATTATTATTATTATTACCAATAAATGAAAAGTCTTCCTTTGAAATATTTAAAAATTAGCATCATTGATAATAATAATAATAATAATAATAATAATAATAATAATAATAATAATATGTAATATTCGCATATATCATCATCATTTGTTTATGATAAATTGGTAAACATTCATTGGGTGAAAGTTTCGTACAATAATAAGTATGATCTCAAATTAAACCTATAGTATTTACTTATGTGTTTCTCATCACATATTGCATATATATTTTTTATTTTGAAGAAAGCATAGTCGAATTCAATTATTTAATAAGAAGATATACAAGGTATACATACATTAATATTATAAGGTAAGTTAATGTCTATAAAAATGCAAAATCAAAAAGCAACTTGATTGCCAAAAACTTTGTAATATGTTGATAGAATATTTGACTTTTAATTTTAATAATCATGTTCAAACTTTGACAACTTTAATTTAAAAAAAAAAAAAAACAACTTGATTTTTATAATCTTTATATGTTACAATTTCCATTATTTTATATATATTTAATGACCAATTTTAAAAGTAATAAAATTTTTTGTTGAATACATGTATTACTATAATAATAATTACGATCTAACATGATTTTCATTTTTGTTTTTTCGTACAATCAACCTCAAAATTATGAGATATAAAATCAAATTTATCGTTCTTCTTGTTATTAAAAATTATAACTAAGCTAACTTTGATTTGTTCACAACACTTCCTAATTTTGTATGTCAAGATAAGTTAATTAATTTCCAAATAGTAATTGAGGGATGTTTAGGTTTAAAAATAGGTCACATGAATCAAGAAGTCTACAATAATACAAGGTACCTTACCAATTATTTGATTTTTAAATTAAAAGAAGTTTATTTTATAATGTCAAATATCAAAGACACAATCCTTTCATCTAGAAGTTATCATTTTAAAATTCATTATTAATAATTATATATATTGTTACTTGAATAGATGTAGCACTCAACTTGTTAAATTAAACTATTCCACCCTTCTAAAAAAACAAAATCAGTACCATTCCATTTCATACTCAAATTAATTAAAATGATACTCAACGCTAATAGATAGGATACATAACAATTTTTTTTGCTAATATTAAAGAACATTTTTTTAATGTTTTGTAATATATATACTTTTTGTAATCACAATTTTTTAAAAATGCATAAATTTTTTAAAATCACAATTTTCTATTATTTTATATATAATAAATGACCAATTTTAAATGCAACAAAATATGTTTTGTTGCATTTATGAATTACCATGGTAATAACAAGGTTAAAAAAGAAAAAATACATATTTAAATTTAATATTTAATGGATAATGCTTTAGTTGTTGGCTTGTTGTGCTATACAGGGGGTATTGTTATTTCATTTTATTTTTGAAACCTATAAACTATTTAATCATAAATTATAAAATACAAAAAATAGAGCAAAATTAAAGGAATTTTTTATTTTTACTATTGTTTATTATTATCCTAAATATTTTTTAATATGATAAGACAAACTAATCTTGTGTTTCTTGTATAGTTTGTTAGTTAGTATTTATTCCCTTTGTAATATTTATTATTTTTAAAATTTTTATCACATGTGCTTTTTTTTTATTTTTTGCCAATATATGATATAATGTGCGTTTTGTTACATTCATTTTATAGTTTTTGTTATTTTTTAATTTTTTTTTATATTTGCAATTGTTAACTCTAATTTGCTCCTTGATTTTTTTTTCATTTTTTATTTTTATAATACTTGTAATAATTAGTTTTTTTTTTATGATTTTTTGAAAAAATTAATTCAATACCCTTTTAAAGAAAAAAATGCCCTTCAAAAGATTTTATCTTATTATGGGATATTTTAGTAATTTCAAATGCATATTCTTACTTTTCGAAAATTTTAATTTAATATCCTTTTAACCTGATCTTTCATCTTATTATGTGATATTTTAGTAATTTACAATGCATATTCCTTTCAAGGTACTTTAGATTATTCATTGGCTTTAAGCTTAAGCAATGGCTAGTTTTTCAAGCAAAAATTAATTAGGACCATAGCTAGGTATGTAACTTGGGTTCAGAAATTTTGGATCCGGGTCGACTCAGTACGTGAAATTTTGAATCCATTCAAATTAAATTTTTTTTTAAATTTAAATCATTTTAGATTAAAATCATTTAACTATTGTAAATCATTTTCAAGTTTGAATCGCTTTTTGTATTACTTAGGTTATGATTATTGACTTTTTTTATGTAATTCACATATTAAGTCAAGTTCATGTCAACTTTTTATAGTAATTTTATTATATTTATCATTTTTGTAATTAAATAAAATTTTAAAAGAATAAATAATATAAATTATCCTTAATTTAAGTTTCATATTATAATTTTGAATTTGAATTAAAGTCTAGTATAAATTGTTTTTTAGTCAATAAATTTTCATTTGGTGGATATATATATATATGAAAAAAAAGTAAATGTAGTTGACACAATAATTAATATTAATATATTTATCAAACTGATGAAAATAAGAAAACATTTTATTTAAAGAAATAAAAGATTATATTATAAAACTGAAAAATTTGAAGAGAATCAAGTTAATAATGAGATTTAGTACTTAAAAAATTAAACAAATTTATCATATTAATGTATAAATTTCATAATAAAAGAAGGGTCAAAACAGACTTTTACCTTTTATTATGATAAGAAAATAGTAAACTAGTTGAATTCGCCCTTGGCTGTATAATTCTGGGGCGAATGACTTGTCATAACCTTATATGATAAGTAGAGTTGGCAAAATGAGTAAGGTGAGTCAACTCGACACGGTTCGTAATTGGATTCGATCTTAGTTGGATCGTGTCGACATAATTCATCTATCGTATAGCTTGTGTTAGATATGATTCGGATTTTTAATCCTTTAATCCAACATAGCTTATGACTCAGTTATTTTATAAGACGTGTCGGGTATGGTCCAAAACATAATAAGCAGAATCGATTATGATATAATAATATTTTTATGTATGATTTTTTTTTAATTGTTATAAATTTATTATTTTAATATCATAATTGTTAAAAAGTTAAAAAAAAATAGATATATAATTAATGTGATTCGACTTAAATATTTATTTTCACGTGATTTAATTTAAAATATTTTAATTTTTTTAATTAAAAGAATTTATTTTTTTTAAAAGAGCTTTGGGGAATATAACCTACTTTGAATCAAATGATATGAACTTTGGTAATTAAAAAATATATTAATGAGTATATTATACGAAAAAAATAGAGATGTTACTTATTATTCATTACTTAATTTAAAGAAATGAAGATGTGATGGGTGAGAATCAAATAAAAAAAAATCAATCGTTGCTAGGCTATGTCATGTGTCAATTTATGATCACTCATCATGGGCCATACCTTTATCAATTCAGCTAAAAATCTTAATAATAATATAAAATATGATACAATAACATAACAAAAATAAAATATAAAAATAATAATTTAAAATTTAATAATTATTATATATAAATTTAATAAAATTAAAAATATATTTATTATATTTTTATATTATTATAAATTATAATATATAATTTTTATATAAAATATAATATTAATATTAATATTTTGTATAATATAAATGTGCGAAGTATTAAATCTACTAGCATGGCCTGCCCTACCGTTTTCTCACTTATAATGGTAAGCGGTAAGCCGCTGGAGACATCTTTAATATATGCGAAAGAAACGATGCTCTGGGTAAGAAAAATTGAAGGTCACCTTAGATCCCATGGCCCAACTTTCCTAATAAATCTGACTCACTTATGGCTGGTCCAATTTCATGCATGGAGATAAATGTGCCAGCTTAGGCCTTAGCATTTGGCAATAAGTACGATTAAATTAAAATCACCCACCCAACCATTTAACATTTATAACTTTAGAAAATTTTTTATAGTTATTAAGTAAATTAACAAATAATATAATCATTAAATGATCACTTGTCAATTATATAAATTCAAAAATTTTATTAGTGTATTGAATATTATATTAAGATTTTTTTAACTTATATAATAAAAAATTTTAAGGGAAAAAAGAAAAAAAATGTAATTTGTTATAATAATAATTTTTTCATTAAAAAAATCATAAACTGAGATTATAAAAAAAATGTTATAAATATTTATATTTGAATTTCAAATTTATTCGATATTAAATTTTAAAAATAATTATATAAACATTAATAAATTTATACCAAAGACATCTTTCTTTTTATGTGGTAAACCAAAAGGGATTTCTTCAAGCAAAAAATCATAATGTTTGAATCACTTTTGAAAGTAAAAGCTATAATCTTAGTTAAAAGCTAGAGAAAGCCGAAAACATGATTTTGATTCGTCACGTGTGTCTCCTAGCTAGCAAACCGTCCCTATCTCAACATTATTATCTGCTTTCTTTCATTCTTTCTTTCTTTTTTTTTTTTTTTCATTTTATATATGTTTTTACATTTTCTAATGTTTAGCTTCCTAAGTTTGCGTGAATAATGTTTACTATAAAAGGCCCACAAACAAGGACATAGCTCATAACAAATTCGTATCATTCACCCTACAAAAAAGTTTGTGCAACCACATATTTTTGTTGCATACCAACCTCTTTGCCATAATCCGGCAGTGAACAACCATGGTTTCTGATGGGGGGCACTCGAAGAATGTGTGTGTTATCGGTGCCGGACCGTCAGGGCTGGTGGCGGCGAGGGAGCTGAGGAAGGAAGGTCACACTGTGGTGGTTTTGGAGCAAAACCATGATGTCGGTGGCCAGTGGTTGTATGAGCCTAATGTAGAGAGTGAAGACGCTTTAGGAAAGAACAAATTTCTAAGTGTACATAGTAGCATTTATGACTCTCTAAGGACTGCATCCCCTAGGGAGATCATGGGATACAGTGATTTCCCATTTTTGGTGAAGAAAGGTAGGGACATGAGGAGATTTCCAGGCCATAAGGAACTTTGGTTGTACCTAAAAGATTTTTGTGAGTGGTTTGAGTTGGAAGATATGATAAGGTTTAACACAAGGGTTGAGTATGTGGGAATGTTGGATTATGGTGAGTTTGGGAAAGATCTAAAATGGGTCGTGAAGAGCAAAGAAAAGAATACTGAGAAAGTGGTGGAAGAGGTGTTTGATGCTGTGGTTGTAGCCACTGGTCATTACTCTCATCCTAGATTGCCCTCAATTAAAGGTACTGTTTAATTTATTCTCTTTGTTAATTTTCCATTCATGAATTTCCTTCATGATTAATTATTTTGTTGATGGTGTAGGAATGGAATCATGGAAAAGGAAGCAAATGCATAGTCACATTTACAGAGTTCCAGAGCCATTTCGAAATGAGGTAATACAAATACAAGAAACTAAAATTCTTTTCAGATCTCAAAATGGCAATCAGTTTGGTGATTTTTTTTTATTTTATCAGGTGGTGGTGATTGTTGGGAGCTCCCAAAGTGGGCAAGATATATCAATGGAGATTGTGGAAGTGGCAAAGGAAGTTTACATGAGTGCCAGATCCCTTGATATTACTGAGGGTTTATCCAAAGTCATTTCCAAGCATCAGAACTTGCATCTTCATTCACAGGTATATCTATTAAATACTAGTTATCTGTCAGCTTAGCACAAAGCTTGAATTCATTGATTTCAGCTCAACAGAATTGAATGTTAATAGAAGAAAAAAGGCTGAGTATTAGATATATTGGAAAAGTAGGTTTGAATGGAAGCTTATTTTTGTTTGCAGATAGAGTGCCTTCAAGAAGATGGGATGGTTCAATTTGGGGATGGCTCTTGTGTCATAGCTGATACTATCATATATTGCACAGGGTAATGTACCAAGTAAACTAATCAAAGATTATACAAGCAAAATGAATGGTCAAAAAGAATAAAATTTTGAGACTTGAGCTGAGATTCCCATTTTTTTTTTCAAAAAAAAAGATCAAAATCTTGTTGCAAGACTTTCAAACACAATTTTTTTATTTGAATTTGTCAAATTTTGATTTTAAATTATTAAAATTACAAGTTCAACATTTTATTAATATATCACGTAGTTGCTGATAAACACAAATTAATTGATATGCTAATAGTTTGCGAGAATTTAGGTTGGATTGAGGCAGTGCCAACACAAGTTAATTGAAAAGCTTTTGTGTCCCAACTGACCAATGATGAAACAGACAAAGTGAACTGAAGTTTCCAAAAGAACACTAAAAGTGGAAGAAAGACCATAGAAAAAGGAAAGAAGATTGACCTTATTTTATTCATCCCCAAGCAACCATTAGGTTTTCCATTTCAAAAGCCTGTCTGTCTGATTGGATGATTATTATGAAAAATCAAAAGAATCTTCCTGGGACCCTACTTTCCCATCCCTGCCCTCAAATCTTGCTTAACCAACTTGCTCAACAATAAACTAAAGTTTTCCATTAATCTGATCATCATCACAACTATAATTTTTTTTGATAAATTAACAGTCATATAGTTTATTAATAAAATGTTGAAATATTAATTTCAAAAATCAAAATTCAAATAATCTCAAATTATACAATATTTGCAGGTATTCATACACATTGCCATTTCTTGACACCAAAGGAATAGTAGTTATTGATGATAACAGAGTGGGACCTCTTTTTGAGCACACTTTCCCTCCATCACTTGCTCCATCCCTCTCCTTTGTAGGCATTCCAAGAAAGGTGCACATCTTTCCATTCTCCCAATTCTACTTACTTATTCCAACATTCATACTTTTACTTTTACTTTTATTATTATGGTACTTTGATATGCCTTTAAGCATTCTTCTTTTATTCTAGAAGTAGTAGTTTTTTTGACCAACTACGAATTATATATTGTATATATTGAGTAAATTACATCAATATATATATATATATATAATTTTTTCCAAAATTTTTGCTTAAGCATTTGATTTAATAATAAGTTCTTCGTCAAAATTAATTTTTAAAAAAAAAATTTGTGAAATTTGAAAGTTTATAACATTCTTGTAAGATTTTTTTTTTTTTAATTTGTTTCTTTGGTTGATTTATTAATGAGGGAGAGGGTGCAGCTGATAGGGTTCCCTTTCTTTGAGTCACAAGCAAAATGGATAGCACAAGTGCTTTCAGGGAAAAGAAGGTTGCCATCATGGGATGACATGATGCAGTCCATTAAGGAGTTTTATCACTCTAGGGAACTTGCTGGTATTCCAAAGTATAACACACACGACCTTGCTGATTTCCAGGTAATTTATTACTGACGCAAAAAAATATATTAGTAGTTTGAGATTTAAGCTAATTATAAAATATTAATTAAGAATTGTACTGTTTTGGGGTTTGCAGTATTGTGATAAATATGCAGATTATAGCGAATCTCCACATTTGGAAGAATGGAGGAAACAACTGTGCATGTCATCCATAGTAAACTCTATTGCCAACTTGGAGACTTACAGGGATTCATGGGATGATGATGAGTTGCTCCAAGAAGCTCTCCAAAGCCCTCATTTCACTCAACTTGGGCCTCACCCTTAATTTTGCTGTTTATTTTGCTTTAATCTTCTTCATCTTGTTTTTATTTTGAACCTAAGTTCTAAGGCTTTGCTTGTCAAGAAATGTGCATTTTGTTGTATTGTATGGTGATTGGTGAAGGTTTATTGGTTAAATATGTATATCTTTCTTTCAATTTGTAAGCAAAAATTGTATTATTTTTTGCTTTCAAAAGTCAAAGAAAAATGCATCACAAAATTATCGGAAGTGGGTTTGATTCAATTCTTGTCGAGATATACGTATTAAATTTGAATTTATTTATTGATTTATTGTACTAAATATAATAATCATGTTATATATATTGAAAATTGTTTAATCGTGATTGTAATTGTAAATATAATCTCATAATTATTCTATTTTTTTATTATATAATCTCATAATTACTTTATCTAGGTAGACTTGGCTGCTTGTTCTGTCTTTCAACAAATGAAGAAAACAATACCAACTAATCCTATGATTTTCTACTCTTCAATTTTCCCAAAATAAAACCTAAATCTTGTGGAGCAACTGAGAAATCTTCATACAGTGAAACCTATTTTACTTCCCTTTTGAAAAATTTCCATAGATTTCCTAGGCTAGTTGGTTGATCTTCCCTGACCAACCATAGCTGCATGAAGCTGTTTGCCATTCTTTTCTCAAGGCTAGACCTATCTTAGACAATGACAAAGAGATAAAATTAAGCAGATTCTGTTCAAGTGGCATCCTGACAGGATCTCCCGAGAAAGCATTCCAGAGTTCAAGAGGAAATTTCAAATCTAGAGGCCTCAATACACAAAATATATTGCTATGTCGTTGATTTTCAATTAAGTTTTGAACAAAATCTAGGGTTCAAAAGAGCATATTCACATTCCATCATTCACTTGACAGTACCAAGACCAAAAGCCATTGAAAGTTGAAAATGGACTTCTATTCTCCTATACGATGTAATAATTGGTATGCCATATTTAAGTTGACATGTACATGATAATCAAATGACTCGCTGTTAGCTAACCCCAAAAGTCTTTCAAGTTACTCTTTCTATACCTTGCCTAATATAAGCCGAGGATTACTTGATGGACATCTTGGCCCCCGAGGTCTTCTTGTTATCTTCCCCCACTCTATTAGTCTTCTCTGCTGGATACCCACTTCACTAGTACCAGACTGCTGCTTCAGCAACATGTTCATCGTGCTCTCCATTACATTGGAAGCACGGGGATTTGACCGTCGCCTCCCTTTTGTGTATCCACTTCTACTTGCAATTCCTGAAGAACCACTTTGCCACTGAGCGCCAGCGGCTTCCATTAGCCCTCCTATCATCTGAAGATCCTCAGTGACCTCATACCTTGAAAGAGAGGCAAGGCTTGGAAGAATTTCACTTCGAAAGTCCTTCCTCTGCTGTCTTCCCCTCCTTGTTCGGCCCCTCTTGGGCTGGTTTGTCAAAAAAATTGCATTTGGTTCTTCCTCTTTTTGGCCATTGCTTTTACACCAAGACTCTTCTACCTTTATCTCTGTTAGGTTCAATGTCATGGCCTCAAAGTAATCAATTCCATCAGATGGATACTCCTCATGATCACCACAATCCTTAACACCTATGTTAACTCCAAATTCGCTTCCTGGATCATCCACTACTGAAGAAGCTACCCTTGCAAACCAATAGAGGGAATTAGAAGCTTTAAAAGGTTCACAACTGGTCCTTTCTAGACAAGTCTGGATCTCAGATGATGAAATGGAAATTATAGCCTCCACTGCATTCCAAACTAGTGTCTCTTGCAGATCCCCATTGTCTTGTCCTGAAGATAGCAGAGGTGTCTCAAGCTGGTTTTCATCAGATTCCCCTCTAGGAGGTGAACAATCCTTGTTTTCTGGACTTGCAGGTGGCTCCAAATCTATTTCTATTGAATGTGAAGGCATTAGCAGAGATTCATTCATAGATAAGCAAGAATTCAGGTCAATTACTCCATAACCTGGAAACTTTTCACAAGGTTCACTTTTTGCAACCGACTCAGTTTTATCTAGTTGTTTTTCTCTATCAGACACATGATCAAATTCCAAGTTCATATCAGGTATCCTATCTTTTTCTTTGTCTTTGATGTCTTCTTTTGCACAAGAGCTGGGATGGTTTCTGAAGGGGGATGCATGTGATGAGCACTGGCAATTGGCAATAGAAGGCTTGTTGTACATGTGAAATCCAGGCATCGTCTTAAAATCTAGGGAGTTGCTTGCCTCCACCTTCTCCAAACCAGCATCATGGACACACAAGGAATTAGCTTGTTCAAGGGTAGATTCCAGTGGGATTGATAAGTCTCTCCTTTCACCAGATTTTCTATCATGTTCTTGAGTTTCAGCAATCGAACAGGCAGTAGAACTTTGAAGTATATTTTCACCATGTATATGAGAGGCAACTTGTGAACCAGCCATATTGTTGGAGAAACTAGGCAAGACACTATTGAGATCCAAACTTTTTATGGACCTTAGACACTCGAAATCCTTGGAGTATTTTACAGGACTATGCTCAAATGCAAAGTCATTGTCATTATTGCAGTTCAGTGAAAGAGAACTTGTAGATGGTGGCTGACCCTCCAGCTGGAAATCATTCAACCAGCTGGCCTGCAGTAAGGTAGCACTACACAACTTTGGGCTAGATAACAAATTTTTGCCTTGACAAAGCTCATTTCCAGGGAGCCCAGGGCTTGAGGTAAAGGATTTAGAACTTCTCCCCTGAAGACATGAAAGTGCTTGAACTTCTATAGGGCTCTGCTTGAAGGCATGACTCCAAGATGAAATAGAGGATGACTCTGAGTTCATCATATCAGCCAAAGGGGCAATCTGAGATGAGCTGCACATGTCTGAAGTAGCAACTGCTTTATGGTTACTAGCAGAGTTGTCTCTTGCAACATGCTGTAAATTTTCATTGCATTGGTTTCCATCAGTCTCATCCAAACCATGGGGTATTACACAATCTCGAGCTTTCTCACTGTTAATGAGCTCAATTGATAATTTTTCAGTATAGAAATCTTGCGGGAAAGAATTCGAATCATTTCTGCCTTGCCCTAAAAACAGAGTTATGAACCATGTAAAATCATCAGCAGCAGTAATAAGTTCTACAAAATGAATGATTTGGGGACTGCTATATATATATATTGGCCAGTAAAGGCTGATAGCTTAATTATAGATCATATAGCATCCTTACCAGCTTTATCATTACAAGGTCCGTGTGCTCTTTGCATTTTGTGTTTATCCAGGTGCGAAGCTTCCAAGTGCGCTTCTGGGCCCTGCATGATCTGGCTATTTGGAATTACTTCTTCGGACAGAACATGAAAGTTCAAATCTGATTTTCCAGAGGGATCCTGTAATAAAGTTTCACTGTGGCCAATAACAGGATCCTGAAAGTTACTGAACTCAGGAATTATATCTTCCTCAAGTTCGACAGGAATATTTAAATCAGCCATAACTTTTTTCTTCGAAGAAATGGAACTAGGAATAAAATTCCCTTCAGGGAAAACAATGTTGCAACCACTGCCATTATCTCCCCTATCTCTAACCTCAGGAATTTTCTTTAGAGAATTAGCTGCTATATCAGTCACTTCAGGTGCCATTTTCACTTCTGAAAACCCCTCTTCTTCACTATCAAAGTAATCATCAGCTGGTAGTTCAAGATCCAAGATCTTTTTGCCAAACTTTTTGCAATTGGACTCTGTGAACTTAGAGGCCTTTGAAGAGCTTTCAATACGAGTAGGATCAAGACCTGCTTGCCCTCTATTTCCATCATATAATTGCAAAGGCAAAATGCTACCTTTAGCTTCTGAATTAGAGGGCTGACAATGCACAAAGTTAATAGAGGTGGAAATGTGGTGTGGTATTTGTACATAATTAGATGACTTTGGAGATAAAACATGATTTGATTGTAAGCTCTCCATACTGCAACGATGTTTATATAAGTTGTTCTTTTTCATTTCTTCCATTAATTCCTTCTGTCTCCTGTAAAGCTGATGGAGTTCACGGATCTAAAATAAAACACATAGCAGATACATTAATTGCAGGAATAATAATATGTTATCAATGATATCAAATTTAGTTGAACCAAAAATCCCTGATTGAAGGGATTACAAATGGAGAAAAGATCTAGATAAACAAAAATGAGGCCAAAAATACAACCAGGTTGTATTTAAATCATGTTATGGTTTCAGATTAAGGATCACTAGGATGATTTGTATATGTACCAATCAACAAGACTCACTTCTAAAATAAACACAACGCTAGGACATACATCACTGGCAAAGATCCAAGGAGACATAATTAGTAGTCTCCAGAATTAGGACTAAGATACTACAGTTACGTCACAACCTCCTGGTGAATGGGGCCCTTCATATGCAAATTATCTCTTTATGCATTACATGATAAGCCGTAGTGTATGTTTGCTTAATTTGCCCAGTGCATCATAAATCTATAGATCCCGAAACCTACTAATGAGGATTTCCAAATAACCTTTCTCTCATCCTAGTTGAAACTTCTATCTTTCTTCCTTTTCAAATGACAATTAAATAATCAACTTAAAGATATAGAACTCTCCATAGGTATTCAAACTCCATCTAATAAGGTGTATACAGTAACCAAAGTTGTTACCTAGGAGATAGAGTATTGTATTTAAGCACATAGAACAGGATTTTACTCCTGCTATACATCAGAATACCGGGGTCACGAGACATAAGAAGTTTATCTTGAGAGAAATACCTGATCCCTAAATTCTGCTTCATGCTTGAGCATTGTCTGCTTTAGTAAACCCTTGTTGTAAAACATATTGGAATCCGAAGACAGTGGCCAAGTACCATTATAGTACTGTCTATTCCTTAAGATTTTACCAACATTATTATCTGTGGGCCATACAGCGCCATTGGCATCCAAATTGAGGTCCCAAGCAGTATAACACCCTGGGAAGTGGCTCTTGTGCTGTACGTCTGCTTGCATTCCTAGCATTGTCATGAAAGTTTGGGCACAAATCTCAATTGCTAATACAATAGATTTAAACTGAGCCAGTACCAAGACAAAAGCAACCTGCATAAAGGCAAGGAAAAGTTTAAATACACATTAGAAAACCTATTGATCCTTTTTTTTATCTGTTTCTCCCTTTGACAAGGAACACATCAACTATAAGAGCTTAACAAAAGTATTTAATATATGGTAACTGATATTAATCAAAAAGTCATTGTCCACATCCTCCATGGTCGCTCGGATAATATTTGTGTTCAGTTAAAACGTTCAGAATGGAAGGCCATAAGGAAACCTTATCAGAACCTCTGCATATCCACTGATTTGGTTGCATTTTAAAATATATTCTGACAATACCTAGCATCAAGAATTACTTGAAAAAGCAATTGCAACACGATATAATTCAAAACAACCAAATGGGCATGTACCATAGCCATCATACTATTTCTGGATACAAATTTTCAAAATGTCTAACATCACATTCATGATAGCACCATGCTGTAACAGTATTAGAATACTATTAACAATGACAGTGCAAAACACTATCAAATGTCATACTAGAAGTTTTCACAAGAAAATGCACCACATTGCAAAACACATTCAAATGTAAAAACCAAAGAAAATTCAAAACTCAAATGAAACCAATAGTATTAAAGTAAGTCCCAAATCCCAACCTCACCCTCTCATTAGAACAAAATCATAGAATTATATGTGAAAGATGCCTAACCAATTTAATCAACCCCTACGCTGCGTTCATAATGAACCAACAAAATGTACCTTCAAATCAGGAAACTACAAATACAAATATGAGTTAAAACAATTATCAGGTTTCATACTAATAATTATATTAAGCTTTAAATCAGTTGTAAATTAATCAAAAAAAAAAAATCTATGATCAATGATCAATGAAATTAGAAAATGATAAATTGAGATTTATTTTCATGTAAATAAAAAATCTGCCATATGTCACTAAACCACCACAAATTCAACTAAAATTAAAAAAAAAAAAAAAAAAGAACAGAAAGAGGGCAGCATCAGATACCCTTCAATCCATAAATCCCACAATTCAGGAGAAAAAAAAACGTATCCATATCTTCCACATTAATAATAACCCAATCAAGGTAATAAAATTTAAAGCATAAATGAAAAACCAAAATTAAATTTGAAACCCATTCGATATCTTCATTGTCTACGCGATAAAAACACTATCCAAATATAAGCAACTAAAAATTTATTAAAACTCAAAAAAAAAAAAAAAAACCGAAGAAGAAGAAGAGAACCCATCAAAGCCATTAAAAGAGTGATCTTTTTAACCTTACCTTAAAAAAATAAAAACAACTTTTTTGAGCTCATGGACTTGGTTTTCTGCAAAGTAGAAGGAAAACCATCGTGGGTATCCTTTGAGAAAGGTTTTAGACAAGGATCAGATACAGAGAAGATAAGAGGAAGATTCTCTCAGAAGAAAAAATGAAGTGGGTATTTCTGAAACTCCATGAAAAGTAGCTAAAAATGGCGATTTTTGGATCTGCTGGATCCATGTTTTCTAGGAAGATTTTGAGAGAGAAAAAGAAGAGAAAAATCAGACACAAACAAACGAAGCCCACAAAAAAAAAAAATTGCATGAGAAGATACATGAAAGTTGTCAAAAAAATTTTTAAAAAATGTACACATTTGCTTTTTCTCTCGTTCATATCTCATTTCATGGCCTTTTGGAACCTTTTTTTTTGTGTAAGTTTGAGAAAATTTTGGCTCGGTGGGTCCCTAAAGTCTAGATTCTCTCCTCCATTTTTGTTTTCTTTTGTACAAAAAGAATTTAAATTTTCAATTTTTTTCAGAAAATAATTTTGCTGTTTTTTTTAGAGTTAAACGGCCTTGATTTTTCCGAATTTTGAATATTTTAATCAACCTTTTTAAATATAACTTAGTAATCAATATTTTATATTAGTATTTTATTTATTAAAAATCGATTTTTAACACTGGTCAGCAGTAGGGCCCCCCTTCAATTTTTAAGTAATAAGCGTACAGATTATGGGAAGATTACGGGAAATTTCAGATTTTTCTTAAATCCAAAAAGAACCCTAATATTTCGTTTTTATTACATTAGAGGACATTTCCATTTTTGGATTATGTTTGAATGATAAATTTGTAAATATTACGAAAATATATTTTTTAATGATGTTGGATGAGTTATTTGGATTAAATTTTAAATTATATTAAAATTTAAAAAATTAATAAATAAAAAATTACATGTTAATCTTATAAATATGTTGATAAAATATTAAAATATCATATAAAAATCGAATTTTAAAATCATATATTATTTATTGTCAATAAAATTTTTAAACTCCATCAAATTAAAAAATCAAACATGAATCCTTGTAGAATATATTAAAAAAATTAAAGATTAATGTTATAAATGATCTTGAATTATAATGAAATATTTAATATAATATTTAAATTTTAAAAATCTCTAATATAATATATGAATTATAAATATATTAACTAATTAGATACTTTAAGGCTACGTTTGACACATAAAATTTATTAAAGGATAAAATATTAATCATCCTATCACATATTTGTTATACATTTAAATAAAAAGATTGAATTATTAAAATGATTAGATATCATGTATCAATAAGATAACTCTATCATTTAAAAAAATAAGAGATTATTTTTAATTCATTGAATTAAACTTACATGTCTTATTATACCCTTAAAAATTACATTAATAATTTAAATTATATAAATTTTGAAGAAGAATAATTTTAATCAATAAATAAATTATTCTATCTTAATCATTACATACATCAAATATAAGATAAAATGATATTATTTAATATAATCATATTCATAATATTATCTTATCTTATTATAATCTTTTGTACCATGACCTAAGAATTATTTATCCGTCACATATCATAATTTAAAACTAACAATATTAAAAATAAATATCATATTAGTTACATATTCATAATTCAGATATTATATTAATTTTTTTTAATTTAATTATCATATTAAGTATTGGTTAAAATATGTCATAGATCCCTATACTTTTCGATTTTTAAGAATTTAGTCCGTATAATATTATTTAAAAATTTTAATCCTTATAATATTATTTGTAAAATATTTAGTCCTTATAAGATTATTTTTTAAGAAATTTAATCCTTGTGCATTTAATGATTAAACTGAAATTTATTAAAAAATAATATTATAATAATTAAATTCTTTTAAATAATATTAAAAGGATTAAATTTTTAAATATAAAAAAATACAAAAAATTATGACATATTTTGACCATTAAATATTTTATTATAATTTAAAAATTATTTATGATATTAATCCAAAATTTTTTTAATTTTATAGTAGATAGTCTTTTAATTTCGCTAGACAAAATGGGAATTTAGAGGTTTTAACTGTTGAGTGTTAATAGAAAGTGGGGAATTGTAATGAAGTGATTGATGAGGAATCTTAGAATCCCTAATTAAGGTTTGATATTTTAGTTTGAAAAAACATGTAATATAAAAAAGCACTGTTGGGATGTCAAATTTTAGTCTTAATCATTTCAGTTCAGGAAAGTGATTGATACCACTCCATGACCCATTTCACTTTTCTTTACAATATATTTCAAACCGAAAGTACATAAAAAAAGCAAGAAAATATTACACGACATTTTTATTAAATTACTTAATATATTATAAATTTGTTAATTTTATAAGCAAAATTAATAAATTGACACTTTTAATTATTTTAAAATAGTTTTTACTTTTTAGAATAAATTATTTTTAAGATTTTTAAATTTTAAAGTAAATGTTATTTTGATTCATATACCTTAATAATCGTAATAAAACGGTTTTTACGTAAGTTAAATTGTTTATTGAACATTAAACGAAAAATAAAAAATTATAAAATAAGATAATGAATAATATTATAAGGTTATGGTTAAGATATAATATAATTGCAAAGGAAATAAAAGTTTGATAAAATTTATTTTTTTAATTTATTTTTATGGATATTAATTTTTATGTATATTATTGTTATTTTTGTAATAAATTAATTAATATTTTTTATTTTTTCAACAAAATATATTTTAGGTTATATTTTACAATTAGACTCACCCTTAAATTGAGTTATCATTTAAATCCACTACTTAGGCTCAACTTAAATTAAGCTTTGAATATGATTTTTAAAGTTTAAGTTTGACCCAATCAAATTATTATTTTATAAATAAAATATTTTTATTTAATTTGTATTTTAAAATATTAATATATATATTAATTTTTTTAATGTTTTAATTTTAAATAGTAAAATGGGCCTATCAAGTTTTTATTTTTTAGAGTAAATTTTTTATATAATTATAAAAAATAATACTATTAAGAAAAAAGTTATATCATCAGTTTTTTTTTTTTTGTAATTTTATTTTTAACTTAATGATGAGGTGATAGTTAGCATTTAACGACTGCTTTAATAGTTTTATTTACGAATGACTTTTTTGTTATTACCATAGAAATATATTAATCAATATGTAACCTTTAAAATTTAGGTACTACAACGATATTCATCTCAAAATTTAGGGATTGTGAAAATAATTTATCTTTTTTTTAATATACATTAAAAATATATATGTTATTCTATTAATCCTACTTTTAAAATTAAAAAATTTCACCCAGTGTATTTGATAAATTTTTTATTTATTTACGTGAAAGTCTATAAAAAATTATTTTTAAAGATAATTCCAGTCGGATTATTTCAATTAAAAAATATGTGCACTTATCAATTTTATTATTATCGAATTAAATGTTTAAATACAAAGTTTTACTGGATTTGAACTATAAAAAATCAGATTTTTTTTTATTTATAAATCACAATCATCCTTTTCCTAATATCCAATATAAGGTCCTTGATATATTTCAAAATTTAGTGCTTAAGGTGATGCATTAACATTATAATTAAAAGTTCTTTGTTTATGGACTTTTTTATTCTAATTTTTTTATATTTCAATTTTTAATAATTCAAATTTATTCGATGAATGCACAGTTTCAAATTTAGATTAAAAATATAATACAATCATTTTTAACTTGGTTATAATATTGTGGGGCATTTTTCTTTCATTTTAGTCTTTCTATATAATATATATATATATGTGAAGAGAGATTTATTTATGTTAATATAAAATTAATTTAATTTTGCATAATTTTATTATTTTTATATGATTTATATTTATTTAATTAGATCATTATATTTTATATTCTGTTCATAAGTCATGCAACTTAAATTTCAAGTAACTAAATATGTTTAACTCTTTGTTTAATATAAAAAATTTCAACCATTAATTATATATTAAAAAACAATATTTTCAATCAATACGATAAAAATATCATATCGATTTGAAACATTACGTGCATATTAAATTCGATTATATTATTAAATCTAACAAAAATTATTAATATATATATATATATAAATTTAATTACTTCTACACCAATGTAACTTGAGCCTCGTAATTTTATTAATCAACTATCATTTCATTATGGGAGCCCTAATGATGGAAGAAAGTTAGAGTTTGAATTGAAATGAAAACAAAATACTAGTTGGTACTTGGTTGTTAAAACTTAAGTGTACTAATTACATCATATAATATAATTTTTTAATGAAAAAATCTATGATAGATAAGTTGTTTAATATTTAAAGTTAAGGTAAGATGTGTCGTATCTATAACTTAAAACAAACGATTACAGATCGTATATTCAAAATGATCCTAACAAAAAATTATTAGCAAGATTCGAATCTAAAGTTTTTTTATCGAAAACAACGAGTTTTAATCAATTAAGTTAATCACTTATTAATATGATATAATATAATTAATAATTATGAAATAGTATTAAATATGATTTAAGGAATTAAACATTAAACCATATAAAACAAAAATTAATGCCTTGAAATTATCTTTGTTGTTAAGCAAACTGGCATAAGCAAACAATGCCTGCAAATTGACTCAAAAATTGGCCAAGTATATTCTCCTACAAAGCATGGTACATAAATTATTTTAGATAAAATCTCATTTGTTTTGGCTCAATTAGAATATGTAAATCCTGATGATATGATCATTAAAATATTATTAACGTGATCATTAAAATATAATAAAATAAAAAATTTATTTTATTACATTTATTCAGCTTTGCTATCACCTGGAAATGTTGGAAATGTTGTCTTGTTGTTGATGATGTCTGTCCAAATATAGCTCATTGTCATTGTATTTATAATTGATGCACTAGAAAACATTTATATTTTTGCCTTGCACCTAAGCATAAGTCCATTTATTGCTGTCTTTGATGTAATGTGTACAATACACATAATAATCCATGATAAAAATGTAATTGCTAATTAACTAAAATATTGTTGTCTTACTACATCAAAACTACATAAAAAAAAAAAAAAAAAGGTGTCTGCTTTCCAATGTTCATCAAAACCGCATGAATTTGATTTTGCTTTTTTAATATAGTATTATAAATTTTTAAAATTTAATCACAATTTAAATTGACTTTTTTTAATTGTTTCAATTCAACATGAATTAAATATTATCTGTTCAAATTAATATATCAAAATTTTGAAATCTAATTTTTTATTTTTTATATTATTTTGATATGATTTTTAATATATTTAAATGGATTTATATGTAAAATAATTATTTTATTTTAAAAAATTTTAAAAATATATAAAAATTAATAAAATATATAATTCTATGTTTTTTTTTTTTGTTTTTTTTTTAATCTGAAATTCAATATGAATCTAATATATAAATTTAATACTTGAATCAAATAGGCAAAAAATTAATTCAAATCAAATCAAATATTAAAATTTCAAATTTCAAATTTCAATTTGATTTTTGATTTTTGATTTATTTTTTGTCACCCTAAGTGTATATTTTCCTATGTTCAAAGAGTTAAATTCAAATTTTTTGTCTTAATATATACTAAAAAAAAAAAATCTCTACATACAGAAAGTCCGACATCCTTAATTGGTCTTCTTAATTTAATTTTATATATACTTCTTCGTAAACAATTGCATTTGTAGCACTACGAAAATATGGGAACAAGGTTTTTTTTTTTTTTTTAACTTTTCCAGAAGCTATGTCCTATGGCAACAAAGTGAATTTTTTTAAGTTAAAAATTATTGGATATGTTAGATATATAAAATTATAAATAAAATTTAATATGTTGATATTATAATTAGATCATATTAAATAATGTTATCTTATCTTATATTTGATATATATAAAAATTAAGATAAATAATTTATTTATTCATCAAAACCAACATTTTTAAAATTTATATAATTTAAATTATCAATATAATTTTTAATAATATAACAAAAATATAAGTTTAGTTTCACAAATTAAAAATCATTTTTCATATTTTAAAAGAATTAAATTATTTTATGTGAAAAAAATAATTAATTTTTATTGTAATTTATTATTCTTTTTAAATACAAATTAAATATGATATAAGATCACTGTTATTTTCGATCGAACGTGATGATTGAAGACAAACTTTTCTCTAGGGTTAGCATCGGATTGGGTTTTGTCCGCCCTGAACTTGCCCCGACATTATGCGTTATTAAACTCAAACCCGACCCGATTCGAAATTAATAAAATATTATTTTTTAAATATAAATATTTAAAAATATAATTATATAAATATATATAAATAACAAATTAAATAATTAATTAAAAAATCATTTTTTATATAATGTCGGATCGGATCGGGTTTACTTAAAATTCGAACCCGACTCGACATCGATTGTTTCTAACCTTATTCGATCCGACCAAAAACTCGAATTTCAAAAAAAAAAAAAAAACGATCTCATAGAATCAAATTGAATCGAAACTCGTTAGAAATGAATTGGATTACCGTCCCTACTTTTCTCTCATTCAAACAAAGCTTTGCGTTTCTACACTCTAAGCTATGCAATTACGAAAAAACAAAAAATTTCGGATATTTGATACGCTATAATAAATATTTTATACACTACATTTATTTATACATATTAATATACACTATCGATCATCCACGCGGTAACATCTAAGTAATACATAAAACTAAAATTAAACAGATCTTTAAAAATAAATTACTTTTAACAATTAATTAAACTGAAATAAATTTTTTAATATTTATTTTTAAAGATCTAATTATTTTTAATTTTTTTCATTAATAAAATATTATTATATGATTTAGTAATCATATATAGCATTTATACACTTGTCCGAATACACTGCTCGAGTTCATTTATATAATCACATTCTGTTTTTTAATAAGAATGCAAGGATCGAACATTAATGACCAAAATTAAAAATCCAATACTGTATCATGAAGCTGGTGAAAATAAGAGGAGCATGTAGAGATTTATACTTTTGTAATAGCAGCAGCATTTTAGAAGGCTGCAAAAGAAGAAAGAAAAGCAAACACAATCTAATAGTTAATAAAGTACAGGAGCCCTTTCGAAGTAGATTAAGGTTTGATTAATGATTCAAATGAAGCCACATCACTTTCACCTAAGAAGCATCAACAGCAATCTTTAAGCTCTCATCATAATGGCCTGGGATGCAACATATGGAATAGTCTCGTCCTCTGAATAGTTTGATTGCATCATGTCCATTGATGTAAACCTCAGAGCTTGGAGAAGCAGAACAACTATTTTTAGGGTAACTTTTAGATAAATCAATAAAAAGGTGGTGGGGGCATATTCCGAGTGACCCTTTGAACATAACTCCATCCAGCAAGGAACAAGCTAGTATATAATGCATATGCATTAATTCACACGCAGCAATAAGTAAAAAGACTTTAACTCATGTAACCGAAATCTTATAAAGAATCCAGATAGTGAAAAACAAAACTGCAGTTGCTGAACAATTACTGAATATCTTATTGACAAAACCGAACAGGCGAAAAAGTGAAGATAGCAGCATCCTCTTAACAACTTAAAAGGAACTTCATATTACTAAATTAGGCATTGAAGCCACGTCTTAATAATTACTCGTACATCTCCATCATACATCCACCCTTTCCCCATCTTCAAGTACAAGGGTCTTCGATGGCTTACCCAACAGATCAGTATACTCCTGGAAAGGAGATCTTGTGAAGCGAGTCTCTCTCCAGAAATCAGGAGTCAAGAAACCGTAAGTTTTCAGAAGACACTCAAAGGTGGCCTGTAGTTACATTTGCAAGAGCAACAGATAATCAGATATCACCAATACCTGAATAAGCATCTCTAAATAATCATGCAGCAAATAAACAGCTATCAAACATGAAAGCACATTAATTTTCCAATAATCAACAATAATTATATCAGGCATTGGTAGGCAGGAATATGAAATAAATTAAAAAAAAGTTGGCCTCTCACCAAATAACTAGAAAATCTACAAGCAAGTGTTTGGGGGTATTTAGCAAATATATAACACAGTTTTTGACCAGCCAAAACACTAAACCAACATAAGAGAAGCATAAACCACCAAACTATCAAACATCCCAACTTTACGAGCTTGGTTGGAAATATTTTGGCTGTCATTGATGTCAAAGGATGCAAAATGAAAAATCCAAATCCATCACAGAACATCAGTGCTGTCCACATGGGCAAGTTGTTATCCTAATTCAGTGAAACCATACTTTCCACTGGCTATAAACCATAACTGTATTAGTTTGCACAACAAAGGGGCAAGCATTACCTAGAATTGTAAGAATGATGTACAACACTTTGAGAATTAAAAACTCGCACTAATAACATTTTACCTACTAAATCAATTTACTACCCAAAGAATTCCTTTGATAATACCCAAGCAGAAAACAGAATCATATGTTCAACAACTCCATCAGAAGAAACACAATGCATCAATGACCACCAAAACCAAATCACAATTTCTATCTAGTTAATTCAGTAACATAAACCTTACAACAACAATTCCAAAGTTACAGAACAGAAACTAAAACATTTGACAACCCATTTCAACATAGATCTAAATAAAGCCATAAAACAATCTCAAATAACAATAAAACCGAACAAATAAAAATTACATAAAGAAAAACTCAATACCTTGACAAAGTTACCAAGAGTTTTTGTAGAACCCCTGGAAGAAGTAAAAACATCTTCGATCCCAGCAAACTGAAGCACCTTCTTGGGCACCCTAGCAGCCACAATCCCAGCACCTCTAGGAGCAGGGACCATCCTAACAGTAACAGACCCACATTTCCCGGTAACCTTGCACGGCACCGTATGAGGTTTCCCGATCTTATTCCCCCAGTACCCTCTCCTCACCGGTATCACTGACAACTTAGCCAATATTATCGCCCCTCTTATAGCCGTCGCAACTTCTTTGCTACACTTCACACCCAATCCAACGTGTCCATTTCCATCGCCAACGACGACGAAGGCCTTGAAACGCGTGCGCTGGCCGGCACGTGTTTGCTTCTGGACTGGAGTGATCTTCATGACCTCGTCTTTCAGGGAAGGGCCAACGAGTTGGTCGACGATTTGGTATTCTTTGATAGGGAGAGAGTGGAGGTAGATTTGTTCGAGGGATGTGATTTTTCCAGTTTTGACTAAACGGCCGAGTTTTGTGACGGGTACCCATTTTTCCTCTTCGTCCTTGCGGCCACGACGCCTGCCTCTTGGGCCACGGTCCGATCTGCCACCGCCAAAGCCACGCCTGAAAGCGCCACGTTCTCCTCCGCCCCTTTCTGCCATTTTTGCTTTTGATTAGGATTTGGAGGGATGCAGAGAGTGAGAGAGATAACTGACGACAGAAGATATTGAGAGCGGTTAGGGTTAGGGTTTTATATGCCAAGAGTGTTCAAGGGAAAATTAGGGTTTTGGGGGCTTAGGATTTTATGGGCTATGGGCTTTGCTATATGGTACAGTGATTTGCTATATGGTATAGATTTAATTTTCTTTTTTATAAGTATCAAATCGTTAACCCAATTTAAAAATCTCTAATATAATTTTTATCTTACAAATTTCCTTATAATATTTTATTATTTGAGTTTTTAAAATTAAAAACACATGTATCATTTATTATTTCGTTTGTAAATTTAAATGATAGTTATTATTCTAAAAATTATCTGTGAATCTCAATTATCATTCAATTTTTTTATAAATTATTTTATAAAATTTTTTTTAAGTATATTACTTTTGTGATTTTATTCAAATATTCAAGTGATTTTTTTTTTAAATAATAAGTGCACATATTTTTTCGTTCAGAGATTGTATTTGAATATCAATTTATCTCAAAATAAAAAGACAAAAAGGAAGTAAAGAGTGATTAATTATTATATGATAAAACTAGAACCAAAGTTCAAATTTACGACCATCCATATTCAGCATGAAAAAGCATGATACAGTAAATATGGTTGCTGCTTTTACAAGCTGCCAAAGCGAAACAAATTTATCTTCCAGTCATGCTCCATTTCTTAGTTTGTCATCTAACTATTTGCTTCATCTGTGATTAAGTCTTGCCATTGTCTCTTTTTCACCTCTACTTCATGTAAGAAATGTTTTTCTTCATCAGGTGCATCTGCAATGAATTATTGTCTGCACGCCAAGTATTACACAATTTACGTCTCTTTGGCTGATTTTGTGCTTCTTCACCACCTACTTTCTGGCCACATTCTAGCTTTCTTAATTCAGCCTGATGCTTCTTGCCATTGAAATGCAACTGGAGTAACTCTTTACTTGAGCATCCAATGCCACACAATTCACACCAGTTCTGCTCCTCTACTTTGTCACCTTCAACTGTTGTAGAAAGTTCCAGTTTTTCTTGCATTTTCTTGTGCTTCTTTCCTGCTAAGTGCTGCTTCAGCAAATTGTCATCTGTGCACCAAATTTTACACAATTTGCACCATGATTTCTGGTTTGCCATTGCACAAGTGTCATTACCATCTTTCCTAGCAAATTTTAGTTCTTGGAACTTAACTTTGTGCTTTTTACCATTTATGTGTAGCTTATAGTTAAGGGAACCTGAGCAAGGCACTTGGCAGACCTCACAGAAAAAATTGAGGGACTGATGATTGAGATTGCAACCCTTAAATAGTTGCAGCTGTTGAGATGGGCTCATGCTTGAAGATGCTAGTTGGTTTCTCTCAGAAATCCTAGGACTGGAACAGATATTTCGCCTTGAAGAAGGATTCTGATTTGGTCTTGGACTTGGACTTGGCTGGCAATCATGGCTGCTCAATGATGCTAGATGCTCTCTTCCAGATAGCCCCGGAGTGGAATCCTGATCTGGTCTTGAAGGTTTTCGACTTGGAAATTGCACCTGCTATGAGAAAACACTCTATTAGCAAAACGAGGCAAACCAAACACCAAATAGCAGTTGTTCATTCAAATGTCAACCTGCTATCACTGATAGATAGCAGCAGTTCTACTGTCTATGAGATTGTATACAAGTAACGGATGCTAAGCGAATTAGTTTACAGCGAAGTGCAAAGAAACGCATATAGAAGTCACTATTTCTGATATCCCAATCTAATTTCAAAGCTGAAAAGTTACTGAGATTGATAATTCTAAAATTCAGACCATCCTCCTAGTTGACAATGGTGATATAAAACATCTTATTGAAAATTATATAAGCTCTAACCTGCATTGGCATTGTTTCATCTCCCAAGTCAACATATGGTTGCAATTGCAACTCTTCAATCTTCCTTCTATATGCCAGCTCTCTTTGGATTGCAAGCTCCAAGCTCATAGTACTTGCTCTCTTCTCAGCCATTTCTTTTCCTATTGTATTCTCTGCAACATTTTCATTTTGTGAGTTCTTTGATAATCCATGTCTTCATCAATCTTACAACTAAAATAATAGCAACCCAACTGCTATTCTGTCAGTGATGCAAATTCTAGAAAAACAAAGGGTTGGATTACGCTAATGGAATGAGAGAAGTCATTGAACAACAGGTACCAATTTCGTAATAACAAAGAAACTAGAAAGAACAATTAGAGTTAGGCCATTGATAATAAGAAAAGCAACCCAAAAGAAGGCAAAGGGGTGTGAAACTGACATATCGTTGGAGAAATATCATTTGAGCCCACAATTTTTGTTAACAAAAAAAAAAATTATCAAAACGAAAGCTTACCCTGTTGAGAATGAGAAAGGCACTGGAAGGAGAAATCAGAGTCCTTTTTTTTCTCCGTTTGAGAGAGACAGAGAAACAAAATTGTGTACTGGGTAGAAGTAGAACACACACTTGGCTCATATTTGTCTGAAAAGTTGGGTATCTGATACTGTACTTGACAAACATGTCCAGGCAGCCATGAACCCTCAGGACAGTTATAATTTTGATAAGTTTTAATCAATTATTATGGCATTTTCCTTTTGGTTCAAGAGGGAAGGCTTGAATTGGAAACTCACTAATTGTATGAAAGACTGCATTAGTAATTAAAGCCTTTTAGCGTAGGTGGAAAAGAGAACAGCCAGTCCCCTGCGGACCAGTTTCTATTTTTGTGACTGCCACCCAATTAGCTGGAACATTGGCAGCCCTTCACATGGCCTTTGTTTTATAGTCCAATTTAGTTTCCTCATTATGCCTATTCATGTACTTTGTAAACTTCTGGTTCAATTAAACCACTACTCTCGTAATGCTTGGTGACTTACAGCTCAAACTTCCCAATACAATGCAGAAGCTGAAAAGCAATTAGAATATTTTGCTCTGTAATGATTCCTGGAGATCTTAAATTGATCTCAAACATGGTTTTTGAATCACACTGCTAGGCCTTGTGTAGAAAGATTATGGTTAACCACCTAAAAATGAAAAGAAAGGAGAGTGACTCAATGACTAGAAACTCCACATAAACTCCTCCAGGAAATGCTATGTGCTGAACTCCATAAAGTAATGTGATCAATACCTCATGGCACAGGTCCATATCGCGTTGCAGAAATGCAAACGTGGCTGGATCTTAGAATGATAGACGTATCCAGGTTTGGTTGTTTAGCAATGGGTTTCACAGTTTTTTCATTTTCTTTTGATACCTGAATTGAGGCTTTTGCACAAGGATCTGCGAGGGCTTGATCACAGTCATGTCATGATTCATTCATCCATAAAACAAATAAACAAAAGAAGCTGATTGGTAAAGTTTTCCATGAAATTGCTTGGGGGACAAAATTGATGAAATTCTTTCAACATAATGAATGGGGAAAATCTCTTTACAAGAAGAATCATGACATGAAAATCTATGTGTATTAAACTTGTATATTTGTGAACTATTTGACACCATAGACGTATTGACACTTGAGTTCTTGAACGAGCTTTCATGAGATAAAATATTTGAAATCTGCCCCGCTGTTTGTTATATTCTAATTAGCATAGCTAGCACTTCTTTCATGTTTGGTCTGGCTTGTGGAGCTTCTGCTGTGCATCTGACCCCAATCCGAAGCAGCTCACACAACTCCTGTGCCCCCTCAGCTAGCCCTGATCCCAAAAGCACAACTGGTATTATAGCTCTACCTAATCCATTTCGCCCATTTCCCATGATACGTCTGGCCCATTCCACCAGGCATTCTTCTCCTCCATCCACAGCTCGCCTCCCGGTTGCCAGTTCCATTGCTAATACCCCATAACTGTACACATCACCTTTTGTAGTAGCTTGCCAAGTCTGCCCATATTCTGGTGCTACATAACCAATAGTTCCTGCCACCATTGTGCTTACATGGCTATCTCCAACATCAACAACTCTAGCTAGACCAAAATCTGTAACTCTTGCCCTCCCATCTTTATCTAGCAGGACATTGCTAGCCTTAACATCCCTGTGCACAATGGCAGGGTAACATTCATGATGTAGAAATACTAATGCTCTTGCAATATCGACTGCCACGTCAATCCTTCTCTGCCATGTTAACCGCACCCTATCTGATATAAGATCTTCCAGGCTCCCACCTCCCATGTACTCATAAACCAATATTTTCTCTAAACCATCAAGGCACCAACCATAAAGTGTAACAAGGTTAGGGTGCGGCCAACCAAAGCCATTTCCACTAAGAACCTCCATCTCAGCCCGGAACTCCCTTTCACCCTCAATTCCTTCTCTTTGTAGCTTTTTCACTGCTACTTCTCTCCCATCAGGCAATACACCTCGGTACACTGTTCCATATCCTCCCTTTCCAAGAATCCTATCCTCTGAAAAATTACCTGTAGCCTTCAAAATGTCAGCATGTGTGAAAGCTGTTTTGTCCAAACGGATGACCTTGACAGTATCTGATAGCCATGGAGATGACCCACTAGAGCTAGATGCCAGATAATGTCGATACTTTGTATCCTGTAAGAGATATCCCTGCGGTTCTTCTGGACTTTTCACCAATATGCAAACTAAAAGTGATAGAACCCCGAAAACCAAAAAGGCCAGTGTCAGAGCTAATAACACCAAAAACACAGGCAACCTGGCAGATTTTTTTTGCCTCTCATTATGGTTTGGCTGGTGACCTGTTCTATTGTCCATAAAATATGGAACATGCAGTAGGGGATCTCCCAGGTAGGAATCCTTCTCGAAAGTTGCCAGTTGCCCAATTGATGGAATTGCACCAGAAATGAGCGGATTGTATGAAATGTTGAACTTATTCAGATCAGTCAGGTTGCTGAAGCTTGCTGGAAATTTGCCCGAAAAATTATTGTATGACAAATCTAGATTCTGTAAGCATTTCATATTCCCAATCTCTGCTGGAATTTCTCCTGAAAATTTGTTTTGAGAGATATTTAGGACTATAAGTGGCAGCTGTCCAATCTGTGCAGGCAGTTCACCATTGAAGTCATTGAAACCCAAGTGAAGCATACTGAAATTCCACATCATACCAATATCGGAAGGGATCTGGCCCAAAAACCGATTCCCACTTAGTTGAAGATAACCTGAGATTGCAAATGTCCTCACCATTGAATCTGCATTGCACATTGGGAAGAGGCCATATCCTTTAAGCAACCGATCCCATATGCTTCTGCAACTCTTCCTCGTGAGAATTGTATACACGAAACTGAAAGGTGGGTAGTCTGCCGGTATCCATCTCTTCATTGCCAAGCACTCACCAGAACCAGCAATTATCCGGTTGCTGTGTAGCCGATTGGACTCAAAAGTTGGAGTAGCATTTCTCCCAATCTTTGCCAATTCAGGATGAAACTTTCCAGAAAGTTGATTGTTGGCGAGGTTTAGCCATAATAAGCTAGTGCAGTTTCCAATCTCAGGTGGAACTTCACCGCTAAGAGAGTTGTTTGCAAGCATCAACCATAAGAGAGAGCTCAATTTTCCAAGGGCTGGTGGGATTGATCCAGAGAGTCTGTTGAAGGAGAGATCAAGGGCTTGTAACTGCGGCAAGTTTCCATACTCAGGTGGTATACTACCTGTAAATTGATTGTAGGCCAGTATCAAGAAATTCAAACTTTGCATTTCAGAGATTTCAACAGGTAAAGGGCCGGAGAAATTGTTATAACTCAGGTCTAAACGAGAAAGATTTGGTAGCTTGAGAATACCAGAAGAATTAATCCCCCCTGTATATGAATTTCCGTGTAATACTAGAAACTTCACCTGTGTGAATCTGCCAAAAATGTCTTGTATCTCCCCACCAAAATTGTTCTTGCTCAAATCCAAAAAGGCCAAATTCATCAGGCTTAACAGGGATTCTGGAATCACTCTAGAAAAACTGTTGTTCCCCAAGAACAAACCTTCAAGAGTTGAAATCATCCCCATCTCTGATGGAATTGGCCCTGTAAAATTGTTTCCCCATATATTCAAGATAGCCAAATTCGTGCAATTTGAAATCTCCCCTGGAAGTTCACCTTGAAAATTGTTTTCTGAAAGGTCCAAAACCTGCAAACTACAATTATTTGTAAAAAAAGATCCCGAAAGTGGCCCAGAAACATGGTTTTCAGAAACTGAATACTCCACAAGCCTTGCAAAACCACTCCATATAGTACCAACAAAATTGTTGGAGCTCAAGTCCAGGTACTGCAGATTCCAGCATTCATCAAAGCAGTTATCGATCCTACCCGTGAAATTATTAGTTGAAAGGTTTGCAACTATCAGTCTATTGCAAATTGCTGGAAAATTAACTTCAATATCCCCTCGAATCCTATTCGTAGACAAATCCAGCTTCTCTAAACTATTCAACCCTGTCAAATTCAGCTCTCCTTCTAGAATGTTATGTGATAAGTTGAGGTATACAAGGCTACTGCATCGGTTCAAATCATCTGGTATATCTCCACCTATGGTGTTTGTCGAGAGATCAAGTTCGCGAAGTTCTGTTAAGGCCGAGAAGCCATTGAACATATTCCCAGAAATATAGTTGTCAGAGAGGTTGACACCAATGACTCTTTGGTTTTGCCCATCAGAAGAGCAAGAGATTCCAGGCCACTGACATGGTATCGAGTTGTCAACATTCCATTCTGAGTATATTCCTCGATTTACACGATTCTGGTCTTCCAGGAATGATTTCAGCTTCAGCAGAACTTCTTTGTCTGTGTCTAAAGAATTTCCAGTGACAACAGTACCTGTAAATAACAGAAATTTGAAAACTAAGCAAAGACAGAATTTTCCTTGAACAACTCAAACGTGTACTCAAAACAGGACAGATAAACTAAATTTTCAACAAGTCAACAGAATCATCCTTGAAAAACGTAAAAATAAACAAAAAATAAATGCTGCCCCATGAAAGATTTTAATGCATGCATAAGAAAATTCAATATCAGCAGCAAATTTTCGAACTCTTTAAACACCAATAAATTATACTCCTATAAACAGAATTACTGTAATTATATATCATGTTGAAACCGGACTAAAAATGAAAAGAACCATAAGCTGATGAAAAGATTACTATAACATACCTGTAATCAGGATTAAGAATATGAACAAAGTGAAACGCCATGTAAGAGCTTGGTCTCCTGACATGATCTTCTTCTTCTTCATCTCTGTCTGCCAATTGTTACTTTTGCAATAGTAAGTTACTCAAACCCCCATCAAAGGAAAACATGGGAAGAAAAGAGAGATGAGTTTGGAAAAAGGCAAAAATATATAAGAAAAATTTCTAAACGTAATCGAAAAAGTCAGTTGAAGAACACGGCGCCTGCAGTTTAGACCAGAGACCAAGCTTGGAAGAAACGTTTGGCAACAGTAACTTTTTCATTTTTTTTTTTTTTTAAAGCATTGTTTAATAATGTTAAATGGGAAATAATCTTAATATTATTTTTTTTATTTTGGGTTCTGGTGCTTGTTCTTTGATGAGAAAATGAGGCATCTGAAGCAAGGGGCCTGGCGAGCCGCCCATGTTGACTGGTTCAAGGAAACATCAGGCCATGGGGTTTGACCATGGACTCTGCTCAACAAGCCACATAGGAGCCTGAATGACGCATAATTTCACGTTGATTTTATTTCTAGAATACGATTTGGATTGTTTGTTTCATGTTTTATGTATTTGACTAAAACCATTACTTTCACAAAGAAAATTTGGAAATTTATCACTGTTTTTGTTGGTTGGTGAGTGACTATGAAAATCGACAGAAACAATTGATCAATGATTAAAACACATGAAAACTATGTGTCTATGGGGGCACCTGTAAACCATAGTTCTCACTTGTCATTTCAATCTGAGATTTGATCTCAAGAATTTCAGAAACCCCAATTACTTCCCATGATTATAACTATTTTATTAAATTTTATGAGTTAATTCATTTTCTTTTGTCAAATATGTACAATTCTAAAAGAAAAATAGATACCCAGACTCGAATTTTTTAATAAAAAGATACATGCATTTATCACAAGAACAAACATTATAAATTAATTTTTTTAATAATTTTTTATTATTGTTTTGACTGTTGGGCATATAAGCATCATCAAGGGGATTTTTTTTTTATTATTGTGCTTTTTCTTGCCATATTAGTCAAAAGGAATCCAACATGAGATTTGAGGGATGGATAGAAAAAGGCTTATTTATTTGGATTAATAATTTGATTTTGAACCATATGAAACAAATGCAAAGCTTTGGAATTATGGGGTGAGAAGTAATGAAGGAATCTCTATTATGTTTAGGTGAGTAGCCTAACAAATAGAAAAGAACAAAAGAATAATGTTAATGTTAATATTTATTGCACATCTATGATAACACCTAAGTTGGTAGAGTTGGTTTAGTCAACTGCAAGAATTAAACATGCAACCACTTCAATCCTATGAATGTCATAAAATTAACTCCATTCTTTTTAACGACCCAACACCTTACTTTATTAAATTTGTTCTGTTTACAACATCTTGTGGTGAGACAATGAAAAAGTTAACATTCATGTAATTATTTTTCTGTATTTGAGGTTATTAATATTTAAATTCTGATTATTAAAATTAAGAGTTCAACATTTTATTCGTAGATCATTTTTTTTTTGTTTAACAATTAGTTATTAGTTAATTATTTGCTATTACTATCTTTCTCAATTTTCTAAAGAAAAAGTTGATGATTTTGGGGGAAAAGGGAAAGAATTAAATTCAAGTTGCAAGCAGTGTTTCTCTTGTATTGTTTTTGACTTCCAATTCTAAGATGAAAAATATATTTTTGGGAAATAAGAGAGTAATTATCTCTTATAATGTAAATTTACTCAAAATCTCAACATGCCTCCATACATATAAATATATACAAAGTAGAGATCCATTTATATAGTATAAAACTAAAAATATTTTACTCAATTTTCTAACAATTAATTTTAATATACTCTAGAGATGAGATTAAATTATTTTTTTATATTATTTATTCATCTCTCGTATCCATTAAATTTATTGATATCAATGATTAAAAAATATATGTAAAATTTTTTAAATTTTACACTGTACAAATTAATTCCTTCTCTCATATATATATTTATTTATTTAATGGAGTCTTGGTATGCAAAAAAGAATTAAAAAAGTAAGAAAGTAATGTTTATCTTCATTTTCTTACATGCATGATGAGATCTATTTGCAAAATGTACCATATGCACATTGTACAAATTAATTCCTTCTCATATATATATATATATATATTTAATGGAGTCTTGGTATGCAAAAAATAATTAAAAAAGTGAGAAAGTAATGTTTGTCTTCATTTTCTTACATGCATGATGAGATCTATTTGCAAAATGTACCTTATGCACACGGTTGCACAAGAAGAAAGTGATAGGTATTTACTTTGTGTAATTATTTTCAATTAACAAGTGGGGAAAATATTTACAAAAGAAATAATGAAAACAATTATTAAGATTTTTTATTAAAAAAAAGTTTGAAGAGGAGAATTTTAAATTTGAAAATTCTTCTAAGAAAAAGAGTGATTATCAAGTAAGTTATATATGTTTTCAACTCCAGTTATAAATTATTATTGTATTATGCCCAAAAATCTTGACATACAATTTTGATTTTTTCCCTTCATTGACTGGTCTCCATGGAGGGTCCTTATTTTCTCAAAATGGAGCCAATTTTGTCAAATTCAAAAATATTGTAACATTTTGTATTAAGGGGGAAAAAAGCAATTTCCCTACGAGAATAGTACAACTAGAAAATTTTGCCGCCCATTCTGTGGTGACGATTTTCTTTTGTTAGGATAGGATGCCTTAGATAAAAGATTAATAGCAAAAGGGTCAAAAAAAAAAAAAAAAAACCTCTTGAACTAAAATTCAATAATCATTTAAGGTTTTGTTGTTTTTTTTGTAATTAATTAAACTCTCAAATATTTATTTTCATCAATTGAATCCTTATTAAAAAAAAATATTGCTTAACTGTTTTCATCAATTCAAAGGTTTAATTAAGTGAAAATAGATATATAAAAGCTCAATTGTGTGAAAACAAATGTTTACAGGTTTAATTGATTTGAAATAAAAGATACGAGGTTTGATTGATTGCAATTAAATATCCAAAGACTTAAATGATTATTAAATTTTTGTTTAAGAGTTTTTTTTACCTTTATGCCAAGATTAATTTATTTGAATTTAAAATTTAATTCAGTTAATTCATGTAATCTTATTTAAGAAATAAAACTTAATAAATTTATAATTTAAATCTCTACAACTCTTTCTATTATCTTTAAGTTACGATCTTTTTTATAAAAAAAAATAATTTATCAAACCAAACTTGGAAATGTAAATGACAATTTAAAGAAACTTCAACTATATAGTAATTTTTTTTTGTTTTTTTAATGGGATAATTGGTCATAATTAAGGTTTTGCAAAATGGCTAATTTTGGGATATTTATTTAGATAATCATTTAACCAAAAAAAAATTATGCAAGGCAAAGTGCATGTAGAACTGTTATATGGAGTATGCAATCCAAAAATATGTTATCTAGATTTGTGGATGTGCAATTTGTGTGCTAATTTTTTGTCCTCCCCTATCCCCTCCCAAATAACTTTTTTTTTTTGGTTTAATCAAAATTTTAAAAGATGGATTGAATAAATTAATAAATTTCAATCAATAGGATTATTATACAAGAATTAAAAAAATAATCATCTTTCTTTGTCGATCAAAATTTGGTCATTGTAAATAACACTTTATAAATAAAATCTTAATTATTCATATCAAAACGAGATATAAACCTTGGAAAAAAGATTAAATTCAAATAAAATCAGCGATACTCTTGACCATGTTAAAAAAGAATTAAAATTAAAAATCTTTCAAATAAAATAGCTGACTCAAAAGAATTTGAATGCCACCATTGATTGATCTAGCTGAAATTTGTCTATATCGAATCGTTTGAGAAAAATCGATCTCAGTAAAATTTTCCAAATCGTGAATAGCAAAGACAATTTTGGCTGCTCAGACAAAGTCACCTTGAATTAATTAATTTAATTTAATTAAACCAAATAAAAAGAATGGTCCTACTAAGAAGGTGAACTTCAAATATTTACATTTCACATTATTTAATTTGATTTTTTTTTATCTATGCATGACATAATTTTTAGACTTATTAATTGGTGATAGAAAGATTTTGCATGTCCGATTCCTAGAAAGTAATAGACAAGATTTATGAGACGGAATATTCAACATTCATACTTTGTAAAAAAAAAATATATAATAATAATAATAATAATTGTCACAAGAAATGTAGACAAATGGTAGCCACCACAAGCTACTAGCTAGCATTCTCAAATTTTAATATTGATTATTGCCTTTGATATTAACAGGTGAAAAAGACGATTGGCCGTCAAAATTTATTGCACCTCCAAAAACCCTTTGACCTTTTTAATGGCTTACGTACCTAAATTGCAATATCTGACTCAACCACCTTTAGGGTGGTTGATATAGAATGATAGAGAGAGTAGTATTTTGATACATTAAAAGTATAATTTTTTAATTTTTTAAGTAAAATTAATATTTTGAAAATTTTGTAAATATATTTTAAGAGATATGTATTATTTTATTAACTCTATTTATAAAATTTAAAACATTTACATATGGGGAATGAGATAAAATTTTTTTATATATAAATGTGTTGCCAATTAATTAATTTTCTTAGGATTTGTGAAATATTGATAGTGTAATTTTTTTATTTTTTATAAATAAAATTAAAAAATTGTTACACATCTGATTTCTTAATTTAATTTATTTAATATACTTGAAAAATATATGTTTACTATCTCTAATTTTATTTATAAAATTTAAAATTCTAAATGAGATAATTTCTTTTTTATAAAAATGTATTGTAAATTAGTAAGTTTTGTTCAAATATAGGGGCCTAGGGCTGGAGGAAGATGAAGAAGAAATTTATGAAACGACAAATGGCAACCTTATATTTAAGAAATATAAGAAATGTTAATGGATTTGACCTTAAGGCAAAGAAAGTGTTCCATCACCCCAAAATAAATAAATAAATATATATTCTCATACAAACAACTATCCCTTTTGCATAATAAAAGTTTTATTTAAATAAATGATAAAATTAATTTTGATAAAATTATAAATAATAATAAAAATAATTATAATTATGATTAAAAAAATTATATTAAATAAATTTCAATAAAATTAATATTTAAATTCAATTACATCGTATCGATTAAATCCAAACGAAGGCTAAGAAAATCAATGTCAGCCGAAGGCTTTGTTTGGTCAAGCATTTTGTTAATTGCTAGCATAAGATTTGATGGGTATGGGGATAAACATTAAACAGTGTGGTTGGGTGGCTTTATCACTGCTAGCCACCTCCT